ATGGATACATTACTCTAAAAAATGGCACTCTGGAGAGAAATTTTTCTAAAGGCTAGGTAACAGAGGCATTCTTTTTTTATTAAGGAATTTTGTATGAATAATACATACCAACCACAGATCCCCCTCTCTTCCTTCTTCCCACTTCTCCAGCCTTCCCCCTTCAACCCACCCCCTATTCCTTCCTCTTACAAGGTGAGGCCTCCCATGGGGAGTCAGCAGAGCCTGGTACATAGAGTAGAAGCAGGTCCAAATCCCTCCACCTGCATCAAGGCTGTACAAGGTGTCCCACCATAGGTAGTGGGCTCCAAAAAGCCAGCTCACACAGCAGGGAAATGTCATCCTGAGTGAGGTAACCCAGACTCAGAAAGACAAACATGAGCCTTCATCCAGTAACTGATGGAAGCAGATGCAGAGATCCACAGCACCAAGCTGAGCTCCAGGAGTCCAGTTGAAGAGAGAGAAGAGGGATTCTATGAGCAAGGGGCATCAAGATTATGATGGGGAAACATACAGAGACAACCAAATCAAACTAGTGGGCACTCATGAACTTTAGACTAACAGCTGTGGGGCCTTCACGGGACTGTACTAGGCCCTCTACATAAGCGTGACAGTTGTGTAGCTTGATCTGCTTAAGGGGCCCCTTGGCAAAGGCATTCTCAAAATCTTCCCGTTTGTCATTTTCATGCAGATCAGAAGCCAAAAGAGCTGCTTTGTGACAGGCCATAGCCAACAGCCAATTGCTAAAGTATAGTCAGGAAAGAAGCCCAGCCCAGGCCATCTTTGTGCCAAGCAGGACTTTCTGATACAGTCTTCCTATAGCTAAGAGCCTTGGTCTGGCTCTCTGTGTTCTTCCACACTAAAGAACCACTGGGCACATCTATGGACTTGCAGAGTAAAGCCTCGTAAGGCCTCTTTCTGAGCACTGGTCCATGACACCACACCATTAGTCGTTCAGAGCTTCCTGCCGTCCTGTGTCTAGCACACCAATAAGGGCTAAAAAGCCAGGACACTGAAACTGTGTGCCAGCAGCAAGTGACTCAGAAAGCTGCCTCTGGTCCCTGGTTGTTGCCTACAGCTGTTAAACCATGGCCATGGGTCATGAATGTTTTCCATGAGTTGACCTCAGCAGATGTGGAGGTCACAGCAGTTTAAATTGAAGTGGTAACCTCTTCCAGGGGAAGCTGATGGTCCCTTTTGGAGATCTTAGTATCATTAATAAAACAATTTAAAAACAGACTTAGAAGGAAGCTCAAGGACATTTTTACTGGAATAGAAGAAAAGAGCACAGTGCAAGTCAGGTGAAAACCCCAGAAGCCTCCAGGGTGAAAGATGGACAAGTCATGCCCTATGAGTACAGACTAGACATAGCCAAACAGCCAGCTTACCACAAAAGGGAGGGACACTCCCAAGAATGGAAGTGGGCTAAGGAACCAAAGAGAGAGCCCCCAAAGCATCTGCCCACACAGGGTATGTGGTCTTGTACACCCACCCCACTCAGTGTCCTCATGTTGTCTTTCTCAAGGCGTTTTGTTTTGTTTTGTTTTGTTTGAGCATGCTCTGTTTCTGAGATGATGCCCATGTTAGGAAGGCCTTCATCCTTCTCAACATACTGTCTTCCCTGGTGCTAATCTTCATGTAGCTTTCCTAATTTCCTGTAACATTCTAGATGAACAGAGTGATCATCCCCCCCCTATTTAAATTGAGAAGACAACCCATTCCAGAAAGCAAGGAAAAAAGATGATTTACAGCAGGAATGAGTTTAGGAGCTAGGTCACAGCTGCTTAACAAGATATTCTTTACTATTTTTATTTTTGCATCCCCTCCCTCTTCTCCTCCTAATCCCTCCCACACTTCCCCTCTGTCCCCCCTCCATCCACTCCTCCATTTCTATTTAGAAAAAGGACAGACCTCCCATGGATATCTACAAATATGGTGTATCAAGTTGCAGTAAGACTAAGCACCTCCCTTTGTATTAAAGCTGGACAAGGTAGACCAGTATGAGGACGAGGGTCCAAAAGGCCGGCAAAAGAGTCAGAGACAGACCCTTGCTCCCACTGGTAGGAGTTCCACAAGAAGATGAAGCTACACAACTGTAACATATATGTAACGTGCCTATGTCAGTCCCAGGCAGACTCCCTGGTTATTAATTCAGCCTCTATGAGCCCCTATGAGCTCAGGTTAGTTGATTCTGTGGACCATTTTCTTGTGGTGTCCTTGACCCCTGTCACTCCTACAGTCCTTCCTCCCCTACTTCCACAGTCTTCCCCAAGCTCTGCCTAGTGTTTGGCTGTGGGTCTGTTTCCATCAGTTGCTGGATGAAGCCTCTCTGATGACAATTGGGCTCAGTGCCAATCTATGAGTATAGCAGAATGTCATTAGGCACCATTACATTGACATTTTTTTTTTTTTTTGCCAGTCCTGTTTGGTTCTATCCTAGGATTCTGGGCCATCCATCCCCTGGCAGTGTCAGGGTAAGCTCACTCTCATGGCATGACTCTTGGGCTGACCCAGTCATTCATGGGCCACTTCCACAATCTCTGTGCCACCCTTACCTCAGCACATCCTATAGGAAGGACAGACTGTAGGTCGAAGGTTAATGTGGTTGGGTTGGTGTTTCAATCGCTCCACTGGAAGTCTTAGCTGGTCACAGGAAGTGGTCAGTTCAGGCTATGTATCCCCCATTGCTAGGAGTCTTAGCTGGGGTTACCCTTGTAGATTCCCAGGAGTTTCCCTTGCACTAAATTCCTCTCACTGCGACATGCCCCACTGTTCCAGTAATCTCTTTCAGTACTCTTTTCCTCCACATCCCCACCTGATCCCTCATGTTCCCATCCCCACCCACTTTCAGTCCATTTAATGACATTTTCAACCCCCCCCCCCCACCGAAACATATATGAGAAATCAATCTTGCCTGGATAGGGTGTTCATTGCCTAAGACAGAACTTCAGTGAAGGGGTGAGGTTCTGGGCTACAAGCAGAGGGAATTTGGGTTCATCTACAATGTCAGACCCGATGGGATGCACCTACAGTGTGGTGGATGTGTGGATACCCAGTGTTCTGAGGCAGGAGTGACGGTCTCGACGTTCTCACCATCATCCCTTCTCCACATTCCAGCCTCTGTTTGGGGTCTCTTGAGGATCTGCCATGAGTTTTCCTCAGGAAAAGTTCCCCATCATCAACACAGGCAGCTTAGGACAGTTAAGCCCTTGATCTGGTCTAAGCAGAAAATCACGGAGCAAGCATTTGAACCCAAGTCCGGGGACCAAATTCTCAATTATGTTCACTTTTTATATCACAGACAAATACGTTTAGGGGATTCTGGGCTTTAGGTGACTTTGTATATGTGTGAGCGTTGTGCTGGGCATGGAAGTCTATCCCTTACCACCTGTAGTCTTTGGTATTGCACTCTGAGACAGAAACACTCTAGTGTAATATCATTGCTCTGTGCTCATGCACAGTCTCTGTTACTGGTGGTTGTTGTCTGGACCAGGTGTTCACAGTTTGGGTGGGGTGTTTCAATTGAAGAAACGTACACAAATAGCTAAGCAGCAGAAATCTGAGAAGTTAGCAAACAAGTGAACGTACAATGTGGGTATACTTACAAGGGAGCAGTGTATTCTAAGGAGATTACTCAAGAACTAGTGACTACTTCTCAGGGCTTCCTTTTGTGTGTCCAGGAGGAGGAGGTTGTTGGGGCCAAGGTGTAGGCGCTTCTTTGTTTTCACTAAGCATGTCTTCTCCGATCATGCATAGGCATGAGATAGCAAGTATGGGATTCACTCTAAAAGTTCACTTTGAAGACACTTTGTCTTACTGTACATGCACCTCCACCAGTCCATGGTGGATAGGCACATTGCACCTAGATTCAGGATATATTCAAAGATGCATCTGATTACAAGGGCGAGTTGCTAGACTGATGGATGGCTTTGTTTGAAGCAGGGCATATGTGTACCTCACCAGGTAAAGGTCCTGGGTTGCTAAGCTCGCCCTGCAGATTACCTCAGTCTCCTCCCCTTGATCACCATCCCTGCTCACCATGGCAACAGAGCGGTGTGATCTATAGTCTTAGTTTGCTGGTAAATTTGTCTCGGCCCGCTGCAGAGAAAAGCAGACACCTTGGTGTGAACTGTCTGTGGACTGAGCCTCGTGGCAGGAGCTGTAGGTGGTACTTAGATGCTGAGGCACTCGGTCACCAAAGTACAGAAAGTGACAATGATGGCATGCATTTGGCAGGTGGAGTCCTGACTCTAGTCAGCACTTGATTCCTGCACTGGCACTTAGCAGAAGATCAGCTAAGCTGTGCTTAGAGTTCTGACAGACACGGAGCAGCGTTGCTTCAAAGCGCTCGGCTCACAGTGATGTTACAGAGCAATCAGCGCTTGACCCATCTTTCCACACCCATGCTGATTTTGATCATGAGATCTGCTTGGCCCAGGGGGAATGGGGAGAGCCTAACATACTCTGGAGCTTGACAAAGAAGTCCTGAATTTTCTCTTTACTTCTTGCTGTTGTCATAAACCACACCTGTTTGCTGGATAGATACTACTGGAGACACCAGAGGAGAAGGAATGTGAGAAAGGTGGGGCCTTCTCTCCCTCCACTCTGCGTTCTCTGGGGTCCAGGTTGGTGGCAAGAACTAGCTTACCTGACAGCCGTTACGCAACATTTGTATCAATGGGTAACTACTGTGAGAATCCACCAATTACAGCTCAGAGACATAAATACACATGGCAACTTGGGTAGAATTGATGCGGTAATGCACATCTATAATCCCATCAATGGGAAGGCTGAAGTTGGTAGTTTGAGGTCAGCTTGGGATACACTGCAAGATCCAAGCCAGCTGGAGCTAACTGGAAAGAAAGAGAGGGAAAAAACAGGAGGAAGGTGAGGGGGTAGAGGTGGAGGAAGAGGGAGACTTAAAAACACAAAAGGAAAGAATAGAGAAGTTAATAAAAATAGAAATGACACTTACCCTTGACAAAAGCAAAATTATTTTCCAATAACTTGAAAATACATTTTTATTTTCTTTAGCATTTTACAGAGCACATTTACACAATAGCAAAAAAAATAACATTTGCTTTCATCTTTCATGTGAATCTTTGATAGAAGCATTTCTTTCCCTTTTTTCGGCCTATGACTGTGTGGTTGCATTAGAGACTCATGGTGTCCATAGAGAGCTTTGGTGGACAGCCAACAGGCACACTCGTTGCCTTCCACACCAGTGGAACCACTGGCACTCCCCTAAAATGCAGGCCCCTTCAGGAGAGTCACAGTCTGTTACTTGAAATGAGGGCATTGCGGGCTTGCAAGGCTGGGGTGACCGAGGTGGACGGCGCTAGGACAAAACACGGTCCCATCTCAGAGACTAAGGAGAATAAGGGCCACTGGGAGGTTCATGCCTGCTGCAGGCACAAACCTCTGCCTCGGGCACAGGGCCATCCAGGAAAGAGCTCTGTGCTGCAAGAGAGCAGAGGCTCCACTCCCTCTCGGAGGACAGCAGCACTCTTTGATGGCCACTGAATCACCACTGGGAGCAACAGAACTCAGGAGGCCTTACAATTCAGATTTTAGCCACTAAATGTCAGCAAGCAAAAATACTGAAAAGATTTTCTTCTATGGATTTCTGTTTCCCAATTTGGAAGGATAAAATGGAGGGATCTTTCCACAGCTAGCCATCGAGCAGCTGCGGGCAAATTATGAAAACACCTGCAGTGTTCCTTCCAAATCGGACTGAGCAACCATGTTCACGTGTCTCTGCATGTACACTCAAATCCTTCACAAATTGTTTTGTAAAATTTTTATTGTCAGATAAAATGAGCCTGAGCTGGAAGAGGGGGAAGAAAACTCGGCCCCAGGGGCACAGTCATATTCACTCACAGGCGGATAAAATTTCTGCTTTGGGGTTTGTTTCTTACTCAGCAACAAAATGCTTGTTTAGTATGTGCCGGGCTCTGGGCTCAGTCCCCCGTACTAAAAAATGGTGGCAGCAGCGGCAGCAGCGGCAGCAGACCTACCTGGAGTGCAATGCCTCTATGCCTCCCAGGGACCTGCCCTATGCAGTCCCCAGCATGTCCTGGGACTTTAAAGGGGGCTCTGCTGATGTCTGGGAGGCCAGCTTGCTGTCACCATGCACAGCCGCTAGTTCCAGGAGACCCAGCAGCAGGGATCACTTGGGCCTCTGGATCTACCTAGAGGCTTCACTCTGTCGACTGCTCCTCGGTGAGGCTGATGCCCTACCCTGGGAATGTTGGTCCTCCAACTACTGGAAGCAAGATTGTGTTTGGGAATTGACTAACTTCCTTGGATGATCTGTCATCGTCACAAGGCAGGACTTCTGGGTCCCCACAAACACCGTGTCCTGTCACAACATGAGGCTCCCCTAACAGTGCTATTTCTGCTCAAATCCACTGAAGTGTGAGGTAAACACGACAGGAAATTTAGCTAAAACTCACTTAATGTCTCATATTCTTTCTTAGAACCTTGGCTCCAGTGGCTCTGGGAGTGTAGAGCTAAATAGTGGGATAAGAAGATTCTGTTAGGGGCCTTGACTGGCTGCTTAAGCAGTGACCAGTCGACAGGCATTGCCTCTTTGGATTATTCTTTCTGGTATAAACTTCGTTGCTTTGTGGGACAGTTCTTTCTTGACATGTTTCCAACACTTAGCACTATTCACTAGTGATCTCACCATACTGATTCCAAGGAGCTATCTCACCAGTCATCATCAAAATGGCAACAAGGCATGACTTTCCACAATGATGAAACATCTCATTTAGGGGAAACATAAGCTTCCTTCAATAGCTCATGCAGCAGCCACACTGCTCGTGTGTGCTTTTCTTATTTCTGGCCACAGTAGCAAGACATAGGGCAGAGCTGGCTTCATGGGACAAAATGGGAGAAAAGGGGAGCATCTTGCTTTCAGAAAAATAACAGCACACTCTCAACTACGGTGAGCCACTTTTACAGTGTGAACTGGGCTTAATCATCTCAATATAGTCAGCCAAATGCTGCACAGATGTAACAGGATGTAAACAGTCATGTAAACATATAACATGCATATTACATTCACAACATGCACTTTTCACCATGAAGTTGCTTCCTTGAGATACATGTGACTTACTATCCACATGGAAAACAGCATCCCACAGTGGCATGTGCTAGCAGCTCATTTTAATTTCAAAAACAATTTATCCAAAGCTGTCACTTTATACCAAAGGAGCATTAACACAATCCAAAAGACAGCAAATGCATATATATCACATCCAGAGCCTGAACATAAAGATTTGATGTTCACACAGAATTTCACACAGGATTAAGGTCAGAGTGTGCTAGCCTCTAGCTTCTACTCACTGCTGCATGATCTGGGTGCTGAGAAGCTGTCCACCCAGGTGACCTTGCACTGCCCGGCAGGTGATCTGGGTACTCATGAAAACCAGCATTTTCAAAAAGTAAGAGGTGAATAGTCAAAGTTGCTTGAAACAATTTTTCTACCTTCAGATGGGCAGAAAATGTGGGTATTTCTAAAGGAACTAGCAAGTTCATTTTATGTAATTCCAAACAAGAAGAGGGAAGTAAAAGGGGGAAATGTGTATGTTCTGTACATATTAATACTGATAGAATTGACTAGCCAATATTATTGCCTTCACAAATCTTAAAGTTAAGTTTTAAATTAGTGGTGGTATTAAAGGAACTGGACATAGTCGTCCAGTTCCCTTTTTGTCCCTGAGTGTTAAAATTCCTTGCATTTAATGAGCTCCAGGTGGCACTTATATAGGAAGACCTTAACTTGTATAAACGTCTTAACAATGCCCCTCGGTGTACGTGTGTGTGTGTGCACACGCGCATTCGTGCATGAGTGTGGGCTCGAGAACACAGGTGCTGCTGAGAACAGAAGCCATCGGTGTTCTGCATTAGTGTGCCACACATATGTCTACATGAAAGCCAACAGCACTTCTCCAGGTTTCTGAAATTCCTCCCCCAGCAGTGTCTGTCTGTCTGTCCCTCTGTACTCTTGAGGTGCTCCCTTCGGGACTGCATATCTACCACAAGACAAAGACAAATACTCGCTGTTGCCAGTGTCCTGAGAACAGGACATTTTGCTTTTATGGAGGGAATGGAAGTTTCAAGTACAGATAAACAGAAAGAGCTGCTGGGTCAAAACATAATTAGCCAAAGCGTTTGTGCATCGAAAGTTATATGAAGAGATTAATTCAAATTCTACCCCATACAATAGTCGGTCACTGGGAAGGAGATGGATTCAACATTTCACAGGATTTCATTGTACAACAAATCATTAAAAATCACACAAGACAAAAAGAAAACACGTAAATGCAATCAAGAATAGATGATGAGGCCCGTTAATCTCGAGGAGCCACTTCTTTGCACTAAGACAATTCAGCTGATCAAGACTAAATGACGTCTTGTTCTTGTCTGAAGGTCACAGAGTGCTTTGGAAAGGCTAACTTCACTGCTGGGGAGAGGCTGCATTCCAGGGCCTCCTTAAACCTGGAGGATGAGGGTCAGTGACTGCAGAGACTCAGGAGCAACTCAAGGGGAACACACACAGCCCGCACCTTAGCAAATCCACCCAGCTACTGCACAGCTAGGCCTGAGCAGCTGTTACAGGGGTATGTGTTGGCATCTTTTTGCTAATTTTACTGGCTTGTTCTGTGATAAGTGCCATTCCTATGGCCTAAAAGAGATATGGAGAAACTGTATATCTTTTTCTTTTCTATCAGTAGACTGCACTCATTTTAAAAAAATACCTCAATTAAATAGTTTTCTTTACCAAGGCAATGGATGCCATCCTTTTTATTTACTATATACTACCATTTGAGAAAGAATATGATTGTTTGAGCATTTACCCCACAGCTTAGAACGTTCTATGTAAGGCTTCTGTTGTGACTCAAGTCCATGCCCCTCCAGGCCTATGCCTCTTGCCACATGTCAGGTGACCTACAAAACGACTGTGCAAACAGAAATAAAACTTTTCTTCAGTGAATCAATAATAGTGTTTGGATTCTGTATGTAAAATTCATATATGGATGGAACTGTTTTGAGAGCTGAAATTGAAATTTTTCATCACTGTATTTAATATTTAAAATTAGTATATTTTAATTGTTATCTTGGCTAAAAGAAAGAAAATATCCATTAGTAACCTGGAAAGGCATTAGTCTGTGATCAAAGGGAATTGGGATATAATTTAAATGTTCAACATACTAATTCTAAAGAATAGGACGAATTCACATTAAGTGATTTGCATACTATCCAGGAAGGTTATATTGTGTCTCAATGACTGCCAATATGTTCACTATTCAATCATGCTAAAATACATCAGCACAGTTAAAGATAACACAAATCAATGGGAAGTTAAAAGTGTAATCTCATCTTCCAGCTTGCTAATTACATACAATGAACTGCCTTTGAAGTGGGGACACACACGTAGAGTTTGGGTTGGTGCCATACTAGAGTGATCAGAAGCCAGTTGAAGAGGAGGAATTTGAACTCAGTGGCCTAGCAAATCCTGTCTCAATAGAGGTGGGATGCTATTTGGCATTCTGATTTCTCTTTCTTTGGGCCATCTCAATGGGTAAAGAAGGAATTTATATTTTATTTTATAACTCTGGGAGGATTCCCAAACAACAAACATTTATCTTACACATAAGCAATTTGGTAAGATCTAGAATAAGGGCTGTCATCTCTTTCATGGTCTGTGACTTCTTCAAAGTGTTCTAGAAACATTGCAAGCTTGATTAGCAGCAAAATGTCACCTAATCAGGCCTCCCTCCTTCCCTGGACATATGTACACACACACACACACACACACACACACACACACACACACACAGAAACACATGTTCTACACCAGTAGAATCTACTAGTCTAGCTGCAATCAGAGTATCTGACAGCTTCTCCCAGATGTTACAATGACAGCTGCTCCTAGATGTGTGCAAGGTTACAATGACAGATGCTCCCAGATGTGTGCAAGGTTATAAATACTGTCTGCACTGTGTCATGTCTCAGAACCTCTAGCACCCAAGTGGATCAGAGAGAATCAATCATTTCATTTACAAACTATCATATTCTAAATTTCTTTTAAGATTAAAAATGAGGAATACAATGGAATACATAATATTTTTCACTGGGTCATATAATTGTTTTATCCAAAACTCTTTTGTGTAGAAGGAAGGCTAGATACTTTTAAGCATAGTTTCAGCAATCATGAGTATAAAATGTTCCTTTGAAAAATAGAAGTTGTTTTTATGATTAACCTCGAGGAAAGCTCTGTGCTACTCCCACGCCTACCCTGGCAGCCATTTTGCAGTGTTTTCTCCCAGAAGCATACACTAGCCCGCCACTGTGCATGCAATGCACACAGGGGACAGAGACCCAGCACTGCGGTTGCCACATACTCCTGCAGCTCTGGGACTTGGTGCTTCCTGTACCACTCTAGCAGCAGCCAGTCCTGGGCATCTTGCAGTCTCGGTTGAAGCCTCGGTTGAAACTTGAACTTGACTGGGAAAGGCCATCTGCTCCAGTGCAGCACTCCTATCTCTTGGTTGGGTAATTCTTGGTCCCCCATGGATAAGAGTGACATCTAGAAGATCTAGAAGTGGAAAGAGTGCCATAGAGTCACAAACATTTCTGTCCAACTGGCAAATTTCAATAGCTCTGGCTTAAGCAAATATGAATAATAAATAAACCACAATTAATAAAAAATAATTAATACAATGGGGAGTTTTAGAAAGCTCTGACCTTTTGCTGAAACTTGGTGATAGGATTTTTCTCTTGTTCTGAGTATAATGAGAACCAGTGATTCTTCATAGTGGAAAATCAACACCATTCAAAGTAGCTTTTACCACATAAACTTCTATATTCATTTACCTGTATCACATGAACACCTGTGTTCATTTACCTGTATCACATTGTGGTAGTTTGAATGTAATTGGCCCTATAAGCTCATAGGGAATGGCACCATTAGGAGGTGTGGCCTTGTTGAAGTAGGTGTGGCCTTGTTGGAGGAAGTATGTCACTGTGGGGGAGGGCTTTGAGGTCTCCTATGCTCAAGCTATGCCTAGTTCAGATTACTTTCTGTTGCTTGCAGATCAGGATGTAGCTCCTTCTCTACTCTCAGCTACTTTTCCAGCACCATGTCTGCCTGCATGCTGCCATGTCCCACCATGATGATAATGGACTAAACCTCTGAACTGTAAGCCAGCTCCAATTAAATGTTTTCTTTTATAAGAGTTGCAGTGGTCATAGTGTCTCTTCACAGCAATAGAAACCCTAACTAAGACACACGTGAACATCTGTGCTCATCTACCTATATCACATGTTCATCAGTTTGAACAAGCAAAACAATGCAAGCAGATTCAATGTGCATTGCTTTTTAACTTGTATATATGTTTCTCAACACTTTCCACCATCATTATCCTGACAAAATATTGTTAAATCATCATAGGGGCTGGAGAAGGCTCAGAGGGTAAGGTACTTGCTGACAAGCCTGAAAATCTGAGTCCAATCCCTGAGACCCACATGGTCAAAGGAGAGAACTGACTCCTCAAAGTTGTGCTCTCACCTTTCATGAGCATCCCTGCTTTCTCTCTCACACACAATCACACTCAAAAATGTAATTAATTTAAATGGTCTCAGTTACACACCACTTGTAGAGAGTTATATCATAACTACTATTATGTTAATAATCTCTCTCTTTCTCTCATTTGTATGTGTGTGTTTGTATGAAAAAGAGAGAGAGAGAGAGAGAGAGAGAGAGAGAGAGAGAGAGAGAGAAAGAGAGAGAGAGAGAGAGAAGCCAGAAGGCCACCTTGACTGTTGTTCACTGGACACCATCTCCCTTGATTTTTGAACCAGAGTCTCACTGGCCTGGAACTCACTGAGTGGCCTGAACCCAAGGGATAAGCCAGCACTGGGATTACAAGCACACATTATCACACCTGTTTTTCTTCTTTCTTTATCTCTAAATTCTGTAAAACGGAGTATTTTGTGTACAGGTATTCTGCCTACATATATGTCTGTTGCTAGAGTTTTCCTGCCTGGCCCACAGTCAAGACAAATCTCTCTCACCCGCCAGTCCCAAGCCGCTCAAACCCGATCAAGTAAACACAGACACTTATATTGGTTTCAAACTGTATGGCTGTGGCAGGCTTCTTGCTAACTGTTCTTACAGCTTAAATTAATCCATTTCTATTAATCTATACCTTGCCACGTGGCTTGTGGCTTACCGGTACTTTACATCTTCCTTGTCCTGATGGCGGCTGGCAGTGTCTCCCCGACTCAGCCTTCCACTTCCCAGCTCTATTCTCCTCCTTGTCCCGCCTACACTTCCTGCCTGGCCACTGCCAATCAGTGATTTATTCATTAACCAATCAGCAACACATTTGACATACAGACCATCCCACAGCATATGTCTGTACACTACTTGCTTGCCTGGTGTTCTTGGAGGCCAGAAGAGAGTGTCAGATCCCCTGGAACTAGAGTTACAGACAGTTGTGAGTCCCCATGTGGGTGCTGGGAACTGAACCCAAGTTTTCTGGAAGAGCAGCCAATGCTCCTAGTCACTGAGCCATCATTCCAGCCCCTATGCCTATTTTATTTCTTTTTTAACTTGAGTTTTGAGTTTTGGCAAGCCCTTTCCCATGGAGCTGTCTCCTCAGCCCCACACTTAGAGAATTTATGACTCTCCCTTACTTACACACAGCTCTCCTGGTCAATCACTGAATCATTAAGCTGCAATTTGGTATGTGTCTACCAGGATTTACAATTATTCACAAATGAGAATGGAGAGGTACCATTAAATAAACCAATAATGCCAATCATAAGTCTCTATAAACTCATATACCTAATTTTTCATTGACACATAGTTTGATTTTCTGCAAGAATATGAAGCTATTCACTTCCCTTGCTCTTGAGCCTCTGAGGAAATATACACAAATGACAATAGCCATACAATGATAGCCTCTGCCCCACTACTTCAGGCCAAGGACACTTGAAATAATAAGATGCTGAAAGTCAAGAACAGAACAGAGACATGCACACTACCAGCAGGAGGCTTGTATGCTCAGCACTTGAGCAAAAGTGAAAATACAAACATCTCCCTGGGATGGTGGGAGGAGAGCACCTGTAAGGACAGTAATTTCTATCCACAATGTGTCCTTGCAACATGGAGATTATCACCTTGGCTCCCCAGCCTCAAATCACACACAGCCAAATTTGCAAAGGTTATATTTTAGAAACATGTTATCAAGCCAAAGGAGCAAGTGGAAGATAATCTCATGTGTGATTCATAAGAAAGGCTCATGGAATGGGATCAGAAGAGAAAAGCAGGACACTGAACTGAACTCAAAGAAGAATGTAATTTCTCTGTAATAACCTTAGCAAGCCGTTCCTGAGTCCTCACTTTCAAGGCTGCTTGCTGTCCTTAAGGGAAACTTTCAGAATAACTTAGAAAGCTACCACAAAGTATCTTTATTGGCTACAAAAAGAAGTGTTCTTCCCCCAGGAGAAGCCTGCTTTCAGGAGTCCTGAGCATCTGGGGTATGTGCTGGATGTGGATGGTTCAACTCAATGGCTCCTTGGGAACACAGAGGGACACCTCTGTCAGCTGCTGCTCCTGGAACTCATGGCCTCCCAAGCACAGTACTTTCACAGTGCTGGCCAATCCCTAAATGCCAGGACCTGACTTCTTTTCCACTGAACTTCTCTGCTGTTTACTCAGTTCTTTGTCCATGTTAGGAAAGGCTGGAAACAGCAGGAATGGGTACTTCCTGAGGAAGGCAACCAGCAAAGACAGGCTAAAGCTGGAAGATGACTATTCCAGCCCCCTCCCTTTGAGTGGGAGAACTCCAGACGCACTGTCTACAAGGCTTTTCAGAGTGTGGTGCAGTGGCCCAAGCTTCAGACACCAAATATGGAAATTTGCTTGACAGTGAAATCTTACTAACTTCATTATCTTCATCAGTATTTTCCAGAACCACCTAGCAAATAAACTAAGTACCTTCAAATCATTATGGCATCACTTTGCCTAACTACAGGAGTTCTAAACTAGATTTAAATTTATCAAGCAGTTTATATATCTTAAAGTCACACTAAGTGTGGTTTGCTTGACTATGAGAACAATGGATATCTGAGCTTCCACCTCATCTAGAATGATCTAGCAACTATTTAACTCAAGGAACCAATCAACCCAAAAATGCTTTCCCATTGACATCTAATAAGCAGCCAGTAGGTACTAGGCAGAAACCTTTTGCTTCATTGGAGAACACAGTAGTGAGGTCTCCACAGAAGCTGGGCAACACATATTCTCCCCATGTCTGTATCTACTCAAAGCGAATATAAAAGTGTTTTAATCAGTTTGTAGAAATAAAGCTTTATGAAACCAAGGATGGAGAAAGCAGCGTTAATGTCCAACTATCTCAATTCATCCTTCACCTTTGAAAGGAAACTCTGACTCTTACCTGTTAGTTGTAAAGTTGTAATAGCCGCTTTCTTCTAGGACCTCTTCAATCACAGTCTGAAATTGACAGAAACTTGGTTAATAGGGAATTAACAGCAACACAGTTAAAACACCTGGGACTGCAGAACACTACCTGCATCTGCTCGTATGTGAGTCCCTCTTCTACCTCAAGGTTGGTGGGTGGACCTGAAACACAGCAGTTACAGAAAGTCAGCCTTTGGTTCAGAACTTCTTCACTACACCTTACTGCCGGCAATTAATACTGCAATTGTAGGAAATAGGGTCAGTTTCTTAACTGTAAAGACTCAAAAGCAAATTCCAGGGCCAGAGAGATGGCTGAGCAGGTAAAATGTATTTGCTTCAACAAGCCTGAAGACCTGAGTTTGATCCCTCCCTGGACTCCCAGATGTCTTCTGACCTACACATACACACACACACACACACACACACACACACACACACACACACACACACACACAAATAAAATAAATTTAATTAAAAATAAAAGTAAATTCCAAAATGTCTTGGCCTTGCTTCTTTCCCATGCTTGGCAGCTCTGGGTGATGCCATTATGCAGCAGTGAGTGAAGACTTTGGAGCAAATTCAGTGTGAACCAATCAAGGAGGTAAGGGTATATGTGCTAGGTGAAGGGTGATTCCAGACGCACAGCACTCCAACCCACTGGAAGCTGCCCAAACCAGTTCTTGTCAGTTCAGTCTGCATTGACCTAGGAGGAACCCCACTGGAGGAAGGCAAGAGGAGGGGTTCTTAGCTTGGCTGAAAACATGAAGACAGAGTACTGGCTCATTTTAAAGCCTTGTTTAAAGGCACTGCCCATGGTGCCAGCAGGTTCTGTTGTCTAGCTTGGCTAAGCCTCCTCTGACAGGGGAGCAGTTAGTTAACCCAGTCTTGGGCTTTTGAGAGACTTCAGTCAGAATTCATTTCATCTTAGTTGCTTTGGTGAGACATCTGACCAGCAGGTGAACTGGTCCAACCTGGACCAGTTAAAAGCAAATGACTTCAGACATCACGTTATCGTGAGCTTGGGATTCCTCCTGGTTCAGTTCAAAAAACACTGTGCTCACCCAGGAGTTGATTTATCACAGGAATATACATTCACAAAGTTTCACAACAAGCAAAAATGACTTCTTAGGCAACAACAACAATACACTCCTGCAAGCTATCAAATATTTATCTGTGAAAACCTGACTTCTGGCTGCTGTGTCCAGGACCATCACTGCAGTTCATGGGGAATTCTGAAATCCTGGAAGAATGGGATGCTGCTTCCCAGGGTTAAGACATCACAAGAAGAATACAGTCATGCTGAGACCCTCCAAAGGCCTGACTCCTGTTACGTCACACTGACTATACAAGTACTATACAATGTTTATCTTGTTTATCATTTTATTGTCTTATTCTTACAGTTACTTCCATTTTACAGGAGACACTGTGAATTTCCGTGTGAATATGGAAATTACACAGAGAGTCTGGATTGTGTTGTGCTGTGGGATGGTCTGTATGTTAAATGTGTTGCTGATTGGTCAATAAATAAATCACTGATTGGCCCGTGGCCAGGCAGGAAGTATAGGCGGGACAAGGAGGAGAATAGGGCTGGGAAGTGGCAAGCTGAGTCAGAGAGACACTGCCAGCCGCCATGATGACAAACAGCATGTGAAGATGCCGGTAAGCCACGAGCCATGTGGCAAGGTATAGATTAATAGAAATGGATTAATTTAAGCTGTAAGAACAGTTAGCAAGAAGCCTGCCACAGCCATACAGTTTGTAAGCAATATAAATGTCTGTGTTTACTTGATCGGGTTTGAGCGGCTTGGGACTGGCGGGTGAGAGAGATTTGTCCTGACTGTGGGCCAGGCAGGAAAACTTTAGCTACAAATGGCGTCCAACGTGGTGGCAAGAGTTTCCACCTAAAAACTGAGAAAAGATTCTAAAACAGAGCTAAAAACAGTTCCTAATTGTCTCTTTCAAGCTAGCGGCAGCCTGCGTGTTTGAGCTACTTGGCGGGTTCCTGGTATGTGCGCTCGACCTGCAGTATGGCGGGAATGAGGCCTCTGCAAGTGACACATTAAGCTGTGTGGTGGATTTAGCCTTTGCTAGTACAAAAAAAAAAAAAAAAGAGGTTTCTGGGCTACACGCTGCTTTGATAGAAGCATAGACCCACTATTTCTGAGAGTTGATGGCTCCCAGAGCTGGCGGAAAACATACAACCACCATGTTGGGAAGGTGAAGTGGGCAGAGCCAGCAGCCACAGCGCCAGCGCCATTTCAGGCTTAGAAGGCTGCAGTTTAAAGCAATAGGCTCAAGCTAATATAAAATATAAGCCACGTAAAGATGGCTACCACACAGAAAATCTGGATTATGTTCTCTTTGATATTCGTAACTGAAGAAAAACATTTGATTACAAAAGCTGTTGAGCTATGCCAAAATGTATATTTTAAAGGTACCTTGACTTCAAAATTTGGATGTAAGGATATGTTGCTTTGGAAAGGAGATTCTGCTTTTGTTTCCACAGAAAGCCAAAGGCTATGGATTTGTTCCAGATTAAGATACATCAGGTTTGACCAGCCAAGACCACCTGAAAGGTGACACCAAGGCCCAGATGATCCAACATCCAGAATGGTTTGAAGGCAACTGGCTCAGATGATACAGCCTCACGGACTACTCCATGATCCTAAAATTTTCTTTGTTTCCCCAGAAGATACAGTGCCCCCCTCCAGCAGGAAGTAGTAAGAGAAGCTACACCCAAATTCCCAAATATACCAAGCTGACTTTAGAGATGTGTAAAGGTTAAAACCTTCCTTTTTAAGAAAAGAAAAGGGGAAGTGCTGTGGGATGGTCTGTATGTTAAATGTGTTGCTGATTGGTCAATAAATAAATCACTGATTGGCCCGTGGCTAGGCAGGAAGTATAGGCGGGACAAGGAGGAGAATAGGGCTGGGAAGTGGAAGGCTGAGTCAGAGAGACACTGCCAGCCGCCATGAGGAGAAACAGCATGTGAAGATGCCGGTAAGCCACGAGCCATGTGGCAAGGTATAGATTAATAGAAATGGATTAATTTAAGCTGTAAGAACAGTTAGCAAGAAGCCTGCCACAGCCATACAGTTTGTAAGCAATATAAATGTCTGTGTTTACTTGATCGGGTTTGAGCGGCTTGGGACTGGCGGGTGAGAGAGATTTGTCCTGACTGTGGGCCAGGCAGGAAAACTTTAGCTACAGTGTTGTCTTTGGGATTTTTAACTGGAGACAGACATTTGATTGTAAAAGCTGCTGAGTTAAACCAATATATATATTTCAAAGGTATCTTGACTTCAAAATTTGTGTCTAAGGATATATTTCTTTGGAAAAGAGATTCTACTTTTGTTTCCACAGAAGATGAGAATCTGTGGATTGATTCCAGGCTAAATATGGTTTGATCAACCAAGTCCCCCTGAAAGGTCTCAGATAACAGCCATGGCCCAGATGATTCAACATCCAAAACAGCTTCAAAGCAACAAGGTGAGATGATTCAGCTTCACAGATTACTACAGCCAAGATTTAAGTATAATTCTTAATTTTCTCAGGATCCCCATAATATTGCCAGTGTCCCCCCAATCAGCAGGAAGTAGTATGAGAAGCCATGCCCAAATTCTCAAAATAATGTTTATGAATGTTTTTTTTTTATTTAAAGCAGGTTGGTTATAAATGCAATCTCCTTCTAAAGAAGAAAGGCGGATATAGATACGACAGGATGAAAGGGTAGATTATTGAATCTACTTTTTAAAGAGCAACAACTTGTTTGAAATGTTTTACATTGCTATGGATTTTATTTATTGATACAAATTTACAGTTAATTTTGTTATACTGTATATATTTTTCTAATCTTGTTTAGGTATTATGTTTATGCAACTCATTTAAAATTGTAATGTATAATTAAGAAATACAGATTAATAATTAGTCATCTATGATAATCAAACTTATAGTTAAGTTAGTTAAGTTTTCTAGGTATAGATATTTTTCAATTAGGTAGGTAATCTTCAAACACTTCAAAGACCTACAGAATATGGCATTTAAAATGTTTTAGGATTAAAATGTTTAGTTTGCTTTCTTTATGGCAAAAGTTAGCCATTTGGGCAAGAAACTGCTCTTGCCTGGACTTGACAGTATGTTGTATAAACTGGACATGCAGGACCCATGGGAAGATGATCACTGAACTTTACAAGACAAGATGGTCCTTCAGGTTCCTGCTTCGCAGAAGAAACTGTCAGACATTCTATGGGACACAGGGAGAACTGACTTACAAACTTTGCCAGAATGGGCAGAACAGTCTTTAAAATTTCCTGTTTCACTGAAAACTATGCCAGAGACTCTAGAACTCTAGGCTGAAGACAGATGTCCCAACATTACAGAGGAACTCTGAATGACTGTCCAGGCAGCTAGATGTCTCTGTCATTTCTAGAATTCTGGGAGTTGCCTCCCATGCACTTCCTATTTACTCAGGTAATATTATATCCTTCTGTGGTCTTTGATGGAATTGAAGACTAGATAGTTATAACTATAGTTTTCCTTAGCCATGATGAAAGGTAAATTAGGCCGGGCGGTGGTGGCGCACGCCTTTAATCCCAGCACTCGGGAGGCAGAGGCAGGCGGATCTTTGTGAGTTCGAGGCCAGCCTGGTCTACAGAGTGAGATCCAGGAAAGGCGCAAAGCTACACAGAGAAACCCTGTCTCGAAAAACCAAAAAAAAAAAAAAAAAAAAAAGGTAAATTAGATATAAAACTTTAGACTCACAAAAATAGGATGGATGATAAAATATTTTCTTTAATTTTACTAAATACAAAAAGACTAGATAGTGTAACTGCAATTCTTGCTTGATAACTGTTTTATTATATATAATTTTACTATGTTAAAGTTAAAAGCTTCCTTTTTGATTAGACAGATAGGGTGAAGTGCTGTGGGATATCTTTCTGGATGCTGTGAATATGTGTGACTCCCACTGGATAATAAATAAAGCTGTTTTGGCCTATGGCAAGAAAGCTTACAGCCAGGCAGGAAATCCAAGTAGAGATAGAGAGAGAAGGGCAGGGTTGGGAGAGATGCCAGCCACCGAAGGAGCAACAAGATGCCGGTAATGCCAGGACCACATGGCAACATATAGATTAGTAGGAATGGGTTAATTTAAGATGGAAGAGTTAGCTAGCCAGAAGCTGAAGCCATAGGCCATACAGTTTGTAATTAATATAAACCTTAGAGTGATTATTTTATGACTGTCTACAGGACCACAGGGCCGGGTAGAACTGAAGAAACTTCCAGCTACAGGCAACCAAGAAAAAAATAAAAGGAAATACAGTTCACACAAAGATCCTGCTGTTTGCCATGTCAATGAGCAAGGGAGGGGTTTCCTGTGCTGGGACATGGTCTCTAGGAACCTCCAGATCCTAGTCACTGTACCCCCAACCACCATCTCAGAGGACATATTCCAGACTTTCTGTGTGGTGGGAGTGGTGTTTAGGACATAGGAACAAAATGGTTCTTTCTGTTGTTACTTTTGATGAAAGCCAGACCCCCTTACCTGTGGGGTCACTTTGGGACCAGTTGTTTGCAGCCAATGAATGATGTAGTAAGTGGTAATCTGACGTAAAAAAGTTTGGCTCAATTGGTTCTGGAGACCCCTGAGATAACTGAAAAGGAAAATGAGAAAGCACATCAGAGACACAGGGCAGGCGGCTTCTGGGAGAGGTGCTCCCATTCCATTCAGGACCTCTGTGTCTGCATGAGAATACTGGGGCTCTGTAGTCCCTTGTAAACAGAGGCACATCCTGCTTCCAGAGGACTGATGGATTGGAAGCAGAAATTTACAGTGAAGGCAAGTCAGACCATTCCTTAGTCACAAGAGAAAAACCATGCTTTATAAAGGCAAAAGACAAAAGGGTCTGGGATGTCAAGGTGTTATTTTTAATCAATTATAAACCCCAGTTATTCAACAGAACAGTATGTTTAGCCCATCATCTGCTTTGAACAACACCTTCTTGTTGGAACACGGCAAGCGAATTTCTTAATACATTTTTCTAAATTACTATTAATTAACTTGGCTCTTCAAACCTTGGTTTCTAACACTCTATTCACCCAATGGTAGAATTTATTAAGTCCCAACTGTTTAATGCTCTTCTGTGAAGCTGAATTTTTTAATGGAATTTCTTAATGGAATTTAAGGCTATAAATATTTTCCAATTCATTTTACCTTTAATTCCACCCAACACTTGGATCGGCCAAGTTTTAGTGCCTGAGTTAATTTACTCTTAAAATGTCAAATATTAATAAAGCAGAAGCAGACAGCACAGTTTGAACTGGAAGGTTATAGTTAATTTGGATTTACAAACTCTGTTCATGAGTTAAGCACATCCATTTCCAATCCCTTGAGAAAACTGGCAGCAGAAGCCACAACCAAACAACACGTGCCACCTGGTGAACAAAAGACGTGCGTGTGGGGGGGTTCCCTCCTCCTTCCATATGCACCCCATCTTCTCTGACCTCCCTATCCCCTCTTTCTTCTATGAAAATAAAATGTACAAGAATGTTCATAACATACTGTTTATAATAACTAAAAGCTGGAAAAATCCCAAATGTCCACATAGAAAGACAGATACATCATGGTATGCTCACACTGTGGGATTCTACAAAGCAATGAAACAAATGATTGACATCCAGAATGTGCATGAATAGTGAACAAATAAAGTCTTGCACAGGAGACACAGCAGAAAGCTTCACCTATGTGCACTTTCACCATCCTGCAGAACCAAGGAGTAGTAATGGATATCAGGATTCCGATAATGCTGCAGCACAGATGTGGTGTGACAAGGATGGAGCCCGATGAGCAGTGAGGAAGGTTCTGCTGGTTGCTGTGGTGGAGGTCACATGGGCAAACACACACCTCACTGCACATTCTGCATTATCTTGATATATTTTAAGTTAGCAAGTCAGAACTATTCCATCATGGCACATCAGATACTATGAATACACACTGCAGGCATTTTCCAGTCTTCACATATATACTGTATTAGAAGAAAATGTGGTCCTGTCTCTTTTCATTCTTGAAAATGTGCTGTTCTTCAGTGACAATTGACAACTTGGGTATAGCATGACAAGATTGTCAGATGTTGATGTATTATACTGCAGAAGGATCTGATGGCCCTAGGCTCTGCCTTTCTTATAGTCTGGCTAACAGTAGTCACTGTGTTTGAGCTTCCAAATATTCCCTGGGATCCTCAGAATAATTTCCTGTGTTAAAATAGCTTTAGATTTTTCAGCAAGGAGGTGGTCTACTCAACTAAACTATTCAGTGTACCTTGTTGTCCTAAAGATTATACAGCCACTAAAAGGCTTGAACCCTCAAGTAAAAGAACGTAACTTGTGAGTGGGGGACCTCAAGACTGCCATTTTGAGATGGCAAGGGTAAGGTGACTCTTTTATTGGTATTCAGCCCTGAGGAGCAGGTTGTTAAGATTTTTAGTCTTGTGTCACATTGGCATACTCCTTTAGCTTGAGAGCCTCAGATCCTCTCTGGGGAGGAGAAATGGCCTAGGAAAAAAGGCCAGGGCCAAAATTCAATACTCTTGTGTTTGAATCCAGATATATTTATTTTTATTCCAGAACTCTACAGAGCTTCTTTTTATAGTTTAGATTCTAGGTGTAAATATTCTTTCAACAAATTAATCCCCTCACCCCACTCCATTTACTATGTGTTATAGTGTCCACAATTTTGACATTGTGGCATGAGGCTGTCATCTACAGAGTTCACACTCTAGAGCTGTTCAGTCAAATTACAAACACAAACACACACAGAGAGATACAAATCTTACATTGCCCCTGGGCCACATAACTCAGAAATGACCATGAGACTTACAATCTGGCCAAGAGTATATATTGTAGTGTGTATAGATAACGCATGTACAATAGGCGGTGCAGTAGATCTAGAGGAGTGTGTATAGATAACGCATGTACAACAGGCGGTGCAGTAGATCTAGAGGAGTGTGTATAGATAACGCATGTACAATAGGCAGTGCAGTAGATCTAGAGGAGTGTGTATAGATAACGCATGTACAACAGGCAGTGCAGTAGATCTAGAGGAGTGTGTATAGATAACGCATGTACAATAGGCGGTGCAGTAGATCTAGAGGAGTGTACATAGATAACGCATGTACAACAGGCAGTGCAGTAGACCTAGAGGAGTGTGTATAGATAATGCATGTACAATAGGCAGTGCAGTAGATCTAGAGGAGTGTGTATAGATAACGCATGTACAACAGGCAGTGCAGTAGATCTAGAGGAGTGTACATAGATAACGCATGTACAATAGGCAGTGCAGTAGATGGCACCATGGAAAATGGGAGATTTGCCAGCACAGGAAGTAATGGTGGAGAGCTTCACCCAGGTGATGATGGAGGAGGCATAGACACAGAAGAAGCTACCCTGTTCTTAGTGACCACAGCAGAACTCACTGCCACTGACTGAGTGCTTAAAACATTCTGGCAAATTCTGTCATTCTATTGGGCTCTTACCACTACCCTGTAAGGTAAATATTAGTTTCATCTTGTGGATGTGGAAACTGGAGAGGGCATTTACTTAAGGAGCAGAGCAAAAGGGGTAGAATCTGAGCTAGAGTCCAGGGTTTTCCACAATCAAAGGTCAAGTGAACCTTCTACCCCTTGGCTTGAGTGACTTGAGGATATGAAGATTAAACAGTCCAAAGAGATTGACATTTAAACAGAGCAAAAAGAATGATATTTCTAGTGGTCCTGATGTGGGCATAGGGAGCTGAAGGTGATTCTAATTATGGATGTGACAGATGGCAAAGTCCCTGTTGCCCAGTAGGTGGAGACACAGAGGAAACAGAATGGCTTTCAAGTTGTAGCCCCTGTGGCTAGAGTAACCTCTGGGTGGTTACTGGTCCCACTGTGGCATTGTGAGCACTCAGCTTATATGTAGACCTGACTTTACCATGCTTTCCCTCTTTGCATGACACCAGGGAGCACCCTCAATTCTGAAGTGCAGGTGGCTGCAAACGTTTTTGAACAAGTCAAGGAATACATTGATAGAACAGATTGTGGCTGTCACCACCGCTGTATCAGGACATCCCTGAGTTGGGGCAGCTACTGAGGCATTTTAGCACTTAGTCAGTTAAGAACAAACACTTAAGGCAGAAATTACAGAGAAGCCATCAAGGAGAGACTATCATCTCCCAGACTACCTCTTCTTTTCCAGACCAGAAAGTCTAGTCCTCCGCTGCAGACCCACGTCACAAAGGACACAGGACCTAACTGACGGGGAGAACTGCAGAAGACAGAGCCAAGGATGAATGAAACTAGATACCAGAAGTGAGAAAAGTTTGCAGCACAGGTCACCACTCTGCACTCTCTGCTCCTCTGGTCTAATTTCCTTCAGCTTTCCTTGTCCTCTGAGACTGAATGCCACCGTTAGAAGCCAGAAGAGGTCCCATGTTCTCTAATCTACTGCTTCTTTTAGCTTCTTACTAGCTTTTCCCAAGCACTTTGTAAACAGAAATGATCACTATATTCACTGGTTTTCTTCCACTAGCCAACAGTTCATCAGCTCGGCCACACTCTAAGCTCCTTCTACCAAAGCACTCAGCTATATAGTGTTTACATTTTCTCTAAGACTCATGTCCCTAACAGAATGTCATCATGGAAAGGATGGAAATGTTCTGTGTGGTGTTATTTAGACACAGAACCTAGTCTTCCCCAGACCTACTTTAGACAATGACGATGGCATCGAGGCAAGAAAGCTGGTGGCCTTCCTTCCAGGAAGGTGACCCCTGACACTGGAGCCTTTCTTCTGGGTCAGAACTAATCACTGTTGCCCTACTGACTTAGCGAGCCTCTGGATCCCAGGTAGGGCCAGGTAAATACAAAGCATGGTTATCACGGGTGTGAAGTCCTGGGAGCTGAGCAATCCTGCCTATCTGGACAACAGCTGGAAACTCAGCCATTAAACAATACAAACTGGATCTGCAGATACGAACTCAAGTGGAGAGTCAAGGCAGCATCAAGAGGCCAAGTGAAGTTCTGAGTCGGGTAGCCCACCACAGTGGGAAAATGTCACCAATTTGTCCTTGCCCCCCTACACCAAATGCTCTGCAGAATGGCAGCTTCTAGAATGAGGAAGAGGACAGAGTTGTAATTCCTGAGTGTCACTGTGTAGAGAATGTGATTGGCCAGCTAGACTGTCTTATCTTCCTAACAAAGGCCCTATGACTGTTGGATATGTTCACAGTGGGCAGGCCTGGCTCTCTGTATGCTTCTTGAGTCAGCAGCAGTGGACAATGCCTGGAAACCATGAAAACAGCATAAGCTCTGCTCTTCCCAGGTCCACGGCCTTAGAGCCAGGCTAACAGTATCCCCTGTGACTGGGATGCACCGTAAAATGTGAGAAACACTGTCCCTACCAGGTTACTAATTTCTCTCCCTGATTCCCATGCTGGAGCCATGTGGGAACATCTCAAAACTAAGTACCTGGTTCCAACCCTCAGAAAACAAACTCCCAGAAGTATCAGAAGGTTTGGAATCCCTAGGAGAGTCAAATGAACAGGAAACTATGAGAACTCCCCCACATGGCTGAGTGCTTACAAAAACAACCATTTCCCAGGTGGGCCTTAGTTCTTCGG